GTATTTTCATTCTTTTATGGACTCACCATTTAAAAAAAATATAAAAATGAATATTCGGTCTCTATTGGGTTTAATTTTTTTATATGTCATGCTCCATATGAAAATGAATAGTTCTGAAAATTTCTTGCAAATAACCCCAGTATTTTATAAAAATATAAAATAAAATAAGATTGTTGTAGTAAATTTTTAGATTGTCTATTTCTCTCCGGTAATGAAGTTTTGTTAAACAAATCTTATATTTATGGAATCCTTGTTTTATAAGCTTTTCATGCATATATTATTAATATTTAGATGTACGGTTTGTGAGATATGAATTTGAAATTCGAAAAAATTAAGATTTAAATAAAAGGATATTTTGGTCCAAATATCAGCTCTTTTACTCCCTTAGATAGTTGAGAAGGATTCTTTGATAAAAAAAAAATTAGATAATGGGGATTTATTGGAAAGTTTTACAAGTTGAAAGGGGTTTTTTGGTAAAAAATTAGACGACGAGTTTTACTGGAAAAAGTTACAAATCGAGGAAGGTTTTCTATACTTTGCCCAATATAAAATGATATACGAATGAAATGATAATTACCATTTTAAGTGGTGGAGGCAGCGCAAGACGATGACGGTGAAAGGTGGTGGTGGCGAAAAACGATGGTGGCCAAAAATTTCTTTCTTAAGAATAAATTTTTATTCCATCGATTTAGATGTGAAATGAATTGTAAAATTCAAGAGAATTTTCATTTTCACTTTAAATATCATATCAATTAAGTAAATTACTACTCCCTCCGTATCAAATTAAATATTCATTTTTCAGAATCTAACTTTATAAGAGAATGAATTTTACTATTTTTTTTATTTGTATTGTTGTTAATAAATTACCAAAATATGTCCATAGTGGGTCACAGGATGTGATAATTTACTTTTTATTAGTTCAATGTAAGTAGGTTAAATTGATAATGTTACAAAAAATAATACTTTACCTTTTCAAATGGAATATTTATTTTGAGACAATCAAAAATAAAAATAAAGAGATCTAATTTGAGATGAGGAAGTATTAAAATAGAATGTCTATTGCGAAATACATTTTATTCCATTCCAGTGTACCAAATTAAGCCAAAGACAATTTTTTGTAACGGCCTCGGTACATAATGCGATTATCTCTTAGTGGTCACCTCGAATCCACCTAACATTCTTGACCTTTTGTTACTCTCACTTTCATCCCAAAAAGTCTCTTTAACGCTTGTACATTTTTAAATCTTTAGACTATAAAATACTTGATATGCATAGAGAGAGAGAGTAAGAAGACATATTCTTAATATTATCATCTAAATTTCACAAAAATTGAGATCACTCAAATTATAAGAATTGTACTTCAATTTTTAATAAATTTATATGCACAAGCAAAATTGAATCTCTATCTAAGTATGCAGAAAAATTCCAAAAATATTGTGACATTTCAATAGGGCAATTTCTCTCACTTTGTCCGGATACCTCTCTTTTAATGGCTAGAGACAAGGCACTTACCAAGTTGATGTACCTCTGTTAAATACTGTAATTGCTAATGTGATTAATTTTTATAATATTGTAGCATTTTTTTTTAAACGTCTTCTATTTTGGAGGAATTTTCATTCGTATCATCTCCATGAGTGAGATTTAAGTAATAGATTTGTGCACTGGAAGAGATCCGAACCCACAGTCGATACAAAGGAGCAGAGTCAGGAATCTCATTCAGGAGGCACATTAATGTATGGTAAAATAATATTTTTGTGAAAAAAAAGGGGGAAAACTTTGAAAGGAAAAAAGAAGAAGAGTTGATTGAATTGCAATTTTCTTTGAACATAATTAAAAAAGAAAAGGAAAAGAAGAGTAAGAAGGGGAAAAAAGAAATAATTAGTAGGTTTTTTTTATAAAAAATATACTTTCAGGGGTTCATTTTGTATAATTTAATAAACTACAGGCATAAAATGTAAAAACAAAATTAATACTATCACAGCATGGACCATCCAGAGGGGTAGCTTGGAAAAAAGAAAGTTCAGGGGGGCCATTTTGTATAATTTAACAAATCATAGCTATAAAAAGTAAAAATTAGTAATGGACCAACATGGCCCGGGGGCATTTTGTATAATTTAACAAATCATATGTATTAAAAGTAAAAATTAGTAATGGGCCAGCATGGGCCTAGGGGGGACGTGATACATATTATACAATTGGTCCGAATATCGAAAATATGTCTTACCATCTAACCCCGTTGGAGCACTTATTTATTACAATCTTGCCAATCAATCTCCATGGCTCCATGGGCTTCACTATTCTCTAAATTTTTTTAAAAAAGCTACCACTAACTATAGTTTAATATTAATAATATTTTCTCATATTTGAGGGTTAAAATTCTTACTAGGGTAACGTGGGTGTGTGAATTTTTTACAAACATAAAGAAAATAAAAGATAACGAATATTTGCATAGACTGAATTATTTAATTGATAAAAAAATATATATATTGATTGCAGTCGTAAAAAAGTAATATTTACTTCTAACATATTTCATATTTGTATACAAACCTTCTTCTAAACTTCCATGATATATGTGCTATTACAATTTTAGCTGCAAATTGTTCTTCCTTCCCTTCTATTTATAATTCACAGTGCAAAATGTACTGTATTTTTCATCACTTTACTTTTCCAGTCATATAGAAATCTAAATTAAATTGGCCCAGTTTTAATTTTGTAGACTTTTTCAGGGTTTAATCATTATAAGTATCACATGCACAGAGTCCGTGACTTAACCTCCATAGGAATTTTTTTTTTGTTAACAAAAGTCAAAAAGAAATGAAAAAGTTAACAATTCTACAATTGCAATATTCTTGTCACTTGCCAGGCAAGAGGATCATATAACTATAATTGCGGATCCATTTTATTCCAAACAATGAAAAACAAAGGTTCAGTACAGATATTACTATATTTGCACAACATTAAATACTAATCATATATTTCTGTTCCATTTTAAATTTTCACTTCGAAAAATGTGAATTACAATTTATAGTAATTAACAGTCTCTGTTCTCCCTCTCGGCATTTTTTAATTTTTTTTTTAGAGTTTTTTTAATTAAATCCAATAATTTTGCGTCAGTTTTAAAATTGGTCTTTTTATTTAAAAGTACAGTATTAGACATTGATCCTATTTTTTTAACATTTCAATTAGTCAACACACAGTCTATCAAACCACGTTGCAATTACGAGTGTTTTTATTTTTTTTTTATTTTATAAAATTTCAAAATTATCCCTTTGATTAAACTATCTAGGCATGATTTTAGCTGTCACCTCTTTCTTCATATAGGAACTTTTCCTGCAATATAAATAAAAATTCTTTTCCAGCAATATAAATAAAAATTTCGTTGGATTGTGAGAAAAAACTAATTGTCATTCCAAATATAAAGTTTTTTTTTTTAAGAAAAAATTGTCGTCAAACTTCAATGGAATAACTTTACTCAATAAAAAAAAAAATCGGCATCATTGTTTACCATATGTAATCCATCCACTGTTTGAATGAAAGTCAATTTTTAAGTTTATTTATATATTTTGTATTCATTTACGCTATTAAAATACAAGGCGTCGATCAAACAAAACAGGGGCAAACGATGCCCCTGAAACAAGAAAACAACTTAATGGAAAATAGAAAAAAATTCAAGGATATATATATTTTTAATGAATATATGAAGTTAAAAAAAAAAAATAACAATTGTTTGTAAACATGATAAACAACCATGGCTTAGAAACAAAACAGAGAGAAAAACAAAAAATGCACTTTTTAAAGTTAACGCTGTCCAGTTGATTAACTAAAATATATAAAAATATGATCAATTTCTATTTTTTTTTTTTTAAAGAAATTAATGTCAAAACCTATGCAAAATTATGAGATTAAACTAAAAAAAAATCCTTTTTTATTTTTTTTAATGCAAGAAATTCACTCACACATATATTTGTTTTAGAGAAATCAAATATCACATTCCACTTTAAAAGGTAGATAAGATACTACTAGATTTCCTCTTACCTCTACATATTAATCAAAGTTTTGACTATATTATTATTTTAATTTTTCAATGTTAATTCTTGTAAGAAGGAAATATTCATTCCTAAATTTGACTCCCAATTAAAGTCAATGTGACATAAATATCCTTAAAGATAGCCTTGGCCCTCTCAAGTTTTTTCAATTAAGTTCAGTTTTAGATTTCTTGTGCACAATTGTCAAATAAAATAGTGAATCATTGGATTCCAAAATATGAATACTATATATTCAACCTAATCAAAGTTAGTATTCCCTATACGTAATTTAGTTAATTGTTTTGCACAGTATGGAGTACATTAGTAACATTACCAAACACATCCTAGTATGCTGATTCTCACCAACAAATGGTCAAACCTAAAAAAATTTAATTTCAAAAAGTAGTTAATTAGAAATGATTATCCACAGGACCACAGTATATTACTTTATTCTTAAGGTTGGGAAAAAAATTGAGGAATGCCTAATCAGAAGAGACCATGTAAACATGAAAAAATTATATAAATTAAAAATAATTAAAATATTACTACCTCCGTCCCACAATAAAAATTCATATTTAGAAATTGGAGTTTTTAAAAGGACATGCAATTAATGCATTGTTCCGTTTTAAAATCATCAAATTGTCCTTTCTAATTTAAATATATATAGTTACCAAGTTTGAAATTTTTAAAAAAGATAAAGGATAATGATGAAAATATAAAGGAAAAATACATTTAACTTTTTAAAAATGACAACTAATTTGGGACATGTAAAAGTAAAATAATGAACTATTAATTTGGAACGGAGGAGGAAGTAGCACACAAACAAATGGACAAATTTGATTGAACATTCACAAACTTTTCCTGGATTAATCAACAACAAAAAAAGGGAGTAACAAAGAAGTTGATAAAGTAAATATAATCTTTTCCTCCTTTGTCTATATGCAAATATAAAAACAGGGGCTTAGACAGCATCAAGAACAACCATCATGTCTTTTTCAATGTTTTCACATGCGACCACTCAATACCTCCATTACCAATACAAAATGAGCCTTGTGAACTTGGATTACATTTATATATGTGACTGTGACATGATACCATAACTTACTTGTATTGGTTTCCTCTTTGTGTTTGTCAACATGTTCATTTGTTTCTAATTGTTTCTCCAATTTTTAATATTCTTCTTCTTCTTCTTGAAATAGCTCTAGCTCTAGGCCATGGCTGATTCTTTTGAGGATGAGTGTGATTACCTCTTTAAGGCTGTCCTAATCGGAGACTCGGCCGTCGGGAAATCGAATCTTCTGTCGAGGTTTGCCCGGGATGAATTTCTCTTGGACTCAAAACCAACCATCGGTGTCGAATTCGCTTACCGGAATATTAAGGTGGGTGATAAGATTGTCAAGGCACAGATATGGGACACTGCAGGACAAGAAAGGTACTTCTTCAATTCTATTCTGTTTTGGGATATGATTTTGCTTTGATTTTAGCTTCTTGTAATGATCAATATGCAGAAAGTAAGACTATAAATGACCTCCTTTTTTAAGTATGAAATCAGAATTTCATTATTTGAGTGAACACGGATTGTGTAGAAAGTGATCATGAATATCTAGATTAGTCTATGTTTTCAGGGAATTTTATACAAAGAAAGTTCATTGTTAAGAAAGTTCTAAAGATTATTCTATACTCTTGTTTACCCAAAAAAAAAAAAAGAAAAAAAAGAAAAAGAAAACAAAGAAGAAAAGATTAGTCTATAGTCTGAATCATAGTGTGAACACAGTTTTGCATACCTTGAAAATTCTTCAGTTTTGGACTAATAATGAAATCTTATCCCCAAATATATGTATCTTATATTTGGGTTTTCCCCTTTTGAAAGGTAGGTTTGCAAAAGAACAGTATTGAAGAAGCTTGCATCTGCAAGATTTTTTTGCTCTTATTATTATTGATTCTACTTTCCAAATTCCAAGTAAAAATAAAAAGCAGTTCTTTGCTGAAAACTGTGAATTCATTTGATTGAGTTTAATTTCCTTTATTATTTTTTCTTCTGAAAATTGTTAATTATTTAAAAATATAGAGAAGACTCTTTTTCTGTTCTTTGACAATTATTTTGTGTCTTTAATATTGCTTTTGAATATTATTTTCACATAACAAAAAGCAAATAGGGCTGCAGAATGTGTCCTTCCATGTTAAAGGGGAGAAGCTGGTGCAATTACTGTAAGAAATGGTCAAATCCAAAATTGTAATTACTTAATTTTTCGAGATTAATCTTCAGACATGCACTTCACAAACTGAGTACATGTTAGGCTTTTTGGTGTGACATAACAGGTCATGAATTTAACTTTTAGTACGTAAATATTTATTTTACTCTAAAGGTCGATCAAGGTCACGAGATGTACAGACAGCATGAAAAGGTTTTATACAATTATTCATTTTGATAAGAGAAAGGTAGCAAGCAACATGCATTGTGTATGTCCATCATGTGTAGTGTGAAAATATAATCATTTTCACAAAGACAAGTACTACACACACACATACATATATCATATGCACGTATGTATTTAAAATATTATACATATAAATATTCATATATAACTTAACCAATTGAATTCAAAAGACTTCTTATGATCCCTCCAAATTTAATTGTTAGTTCAAAGTGTGGTCCAGTTGACATTTAAAATGTACACAAATACTTTTTGAATTAGCGGTTGGATTGTAATTTCAATCTTCACAACCAACTCAGTCAAAGTATAGATCCATCCGTTTTTATCTTTTCTGATCAAATTTGTCTACGTTCGGGCTCGAACCCCAAACCTCCTATTTGAGGACAGAAAAGTTATACAGGTATGACCTTTGGTTAATCCATCCTTGTTGATCCGTGTAATGTTTGTGCAGATTTAGAGCCATAACAAGTTCATACTACCGTGGGGCATTGGGGGCCTTACTAGTTTACGACATAACTCGTAGGGCAACATTTGAGAATCTGAAGAAATGGTTGCATGAGCTGAGAGAGTTTGGCAGTCCAGACATGGTGATTGTTCTTGTCGGCAACAAATCGGATTTGAGTCAATCCAGACAGGTTGCTATAGAAGATGGCCAAAGCCTAGCACAGCTTGAAGGCCTGTGTTTCATGGAAACATCTGCCAAAGAGAATCTGAATGTGGAAGAGGCTTATCTTCAGATGATTACAAGAATTCATGAAATCACAAGCCAAAAGTGTCTGGAAGCGAAGAGTACTAATAGTAATGGTCAAAATTCTTCTTCTTCAACAGTACTACACGGCGGAAAACTGATCATCAACGTTGATGAAGTTTCTGCTACTAAACAAATAAGTTGTTGTTCAACCTGAATTGATTAGTATCGAGAGCTAATTGTCTGATTTTTTTTTTAGTATATATACCTACTCGCATCAATCTCTAAGTTTTTGATATGTATATCCAAATTTTCAGTTTTGAGACTCAGCTAGAAATTTATTTTACAGGTATGAATTTTGATGTGTTGAAGGTAAGTCCATAGTTGGCTAGTTGCAGGGTTTTGAATGATTATTTATGAGTTATTAATATTGTATTCTGAATCACATGTAGGGTTTTGAAATGATTATTAACAAGAACGCTTTTGATGTTTTTAATATACTATATTACCATGGTTTGGAGATCCAAGGACAATAATAATAGCAAAGATGAGGGTTTTGAGAACTTTAATGGGGCAACTTTGAAACTATAAGAATATAATCTTATACAAAATTAAAATAAAAAAATAAATTTGAGTGGAGGTAGCTGCTATCCAATTGAATGTTACATGACTCCATTCTTGTTACTCACATAGCTATTATTTAGTACAAATATGGTGCGTGAGATATATAACGATGGGGTAATTTTCTGAGTAGGTGTGCCGGTGTTATCAATGCATCCATGGTCTCAGCTTCAAATGCATGTGAATTTTATGTTATAAATAGATTGATTATACTAATTTATTTGTCTAATCAGAAAGAATTTTTATTCATTTGATATGGTGAATAAATTCAAATGTGAATTCTATTCATCACATTAAATGAATAAAAACTTTTAAACACAGATAAATAATTTAAAAATTCTATCTAATAATTATTTTTTATTAATACAAGCACTAGTTTATAGTGCACTCCCACCTTCTAAAACTCAAGATTTGATGATTTAAGTCAAATTGTGGTTACGTGAGACACAAAAAAAAAAAAAAAAAAAAAAAAAAAAAAAAAAAAAAAAAAAAAAACCTTACTTACATTAGACCCAACCGACTTGAACGCATCTCTGGTTAGCGTAGTTCCTATAACCAAACACAAACAGTCCCAGCAGGTAGTCGGATAGCTGTTGTTGGTCGGTCATAGTCGCCATTATAACACTCCCCATCTCTCTCCCTGCGATCGATTTCATGTTTAAAACACACAGATGTTCTATCTGTGACCTAGCATGATTACAGAACCCTTAAATCACAAACCGTCCTATTGAAGAGAAGCCATAGCTCTAAAGCTCCCAATTCTATTTGGGACCCACACGTAATTCGCATCTTCAACCAAATCAACGGTCACGAAACCGTCTGTAATAACAAGTCTTCATCTGCGTCCGTTACTCCAGCATTCACTCTCGCATTCCTTTTCCATCTTCTTCATTCATTTCGTCACCCGATTCAATTGAACGAGCATTCCGCTAAAATGCGCACTGTGCGTAACTGGAGCTCATGAGACTCAGATACTGATCCCAACAACAGAGTTCAATTTGAACGCTCATGGCGAATTGGATCTCCTCCAAACTCAAGGTCGCTGAAACTCTCCTCCATCAGGTTATCATTCGATCTCTATTCTTTTTTTCATGTAATTTCATTTTAATTCTAAGCTTCATAATTGCCACTCCATCATATCCCTAAATTTTATTTAGGGATTCTTGGCAACCAAACAGAGTCTTGAAATATATATATATATGCTTTCTATATTTTCTAGGGCCGTTTTTGTTATTTACTTTGATTTAGCTAATATTACTATGAATTTTGATAATTTTAATTCAGATTGATCAGCAAGCGGCTGACTCGCTAAGAAAGAATGATAAGCAGCGATCTGATGAGTCAAATAATGAGATCCTGGCAAAAACTAATGCGGTTGTGCCATTAAAGGATCAATTGAAGAAGAAAACAGAAAAAACAAGTGATTTGATCGGTAAATTACATAATGATCATAATTCAAATGTAAATAAAAACAATAGTCACAATCCGAGTAAGGAGATTGTGGCATCTGTAAATTTTAAACCTTCTTCAAAACCCAAGCCTGGTCTTTCGGACAGTGATTGGACCGAATTACTTAGTGCTCCGAGTCAGACAACACCTCCAACTACAAATCGTGGTAATGGAGTTTCCGGCATTCGCAGTTTGAGGAAAGATGGTAGGAGACCAGGGGGTTCAGGTTCAAATTTGTTAGCATTGGAGGCAAAGAGGAATCATAAGACTCAAAATAGTATTTTAAAGTCTTCACCAAAATCAGATGTTGCCTTGCAGAATAAAATAAATAGTGGTGGCTTAGGTGGGAGGCCGAGTGATGGGGAAGATTCTAGATTATCTGATTCTATGGGTAGGACTTCAAGTGTTGAGTTACAAAGTAATGGTAAGCATTCAGAAGGAAGAGGATTGGATCAGAAGGATGAAATTGCAAATATTGTGGAAGAGCATAAGAATGAGGCAGTTGAAGGAACAAATGTTGTGGAAGAGCATAAGAATGAGGCAGTTGAAGGAACAAATGTTGTGGAAGAGTATAAGAATGAGGCAGTCGAAGGAACAAATGGCGTGTCAGATACTCTTGGGGAGGGAGGGGATTTACAATCGACGGATCGTTCACCAGGTGCAATTCCACATTCAACATATAAGAAGTTACCGTCAGAAATGGTGCCGGTGACTGTTGATGAAGGGTCTTATTTGAGGATAGGAGCAAATGATGATGCCAACAGCCCAAATAGTACAGGCGGAATTAATGAATATAGTGCAGGTCCAAGGAGTTCTGCTTCTCTCAAGAGGGGTTCTCCTTCGGTAAGTGACGGAGGATCTGCTTCGGAGACAGATTCAGCTTCAACGTCTGACTCAGAGAGTGAACGTGACAGGGAGGAAAGGAGGCGGCGAAGGGATCTGATTCTTGCTGAGAAAGCGGCTGCTAAAGCTGTTGAGGCCATCAGGGAGCGCGAGAATATGGTTGCTAGACTAGAAGGGGAGAAACAGAGTTTAGAGAAAATACTTGAAGAACGGGCCAAACAACAAGCACAAGAGGTAATATTTGTTCAGTTATTTGTTATTATAATATTTGAATTGGCACTTTTATTTTGTTTCTGACAATGTTATTGATTTAAAAATGTTTTATTTGCTCTAATAATGGATCAGTCTTTTGCTTTACTGGATGAACCACCCTAGAAAGTATAATAAATTGTAAACTCTAACCAGAACAAGAGAGAATGATACCTAATTACTTGTTTATCACATTTAATTAGTATTTAATCTAGAGTTTAGACAAATTCTATAACAATAATACACTAACTTAGATCATTGACTAAATGTCAAGGTATTCACTTCTAATTGAATTACCAAGCTCTTACTTGAATGAAGCTAAATTTTCAGACTTCTTAATTTGAATTACAAATAGCTTGTAATATTACCTATAATGAAAAAAGGATCTTGTAATATTTCCTCTTTGAACAAGGTTTATGAGGACTATAGAAAAACTTACATCATGTTTGGATTGAAGGAACCGGAAGGAAAGGGAAGTGAAAGGATGGATAGATTAAATCATGTCTGTTTTAAAGTAAAAATGAAGAGGGAAAGGAAAGAGAAAGGAGTCAAAAGAACTACAATTTAAACCTTTAAATATTGTTTTCTCTATAATTTCGAAAATGGGAAAAAATAGAGGGAAATGATAGAAGAGTTAGTAATTACCCATCTTAAGTCAATAGGACTTAGGTTGGTTAATTTCGTCACAAAAATTAGAGTTCATATTTTTGTTTTACTTTTAGTTTTAGATAGCATTTCTAAAAGTTAGTTAGAGCTAGTTGGTTACCGCATGTCCAATGCAACTACAATCAAGGGCAAAAGGGTAAATTCAACACCTATATATGCACTCACCAATTAGGGTTCATGTTTCATACATTCATTAAATTAGGGTTTCTTAAATTTCATGTTTTGAAGCATAGAAATCATTTTTGAGGTGCAAAAACATATTTTTGGAAATTTCATAAATTAAAATCTTAATGTAATAACCACAAAGGGTCGTAGCTTAGTGATACTTTCTCACTCTTCATAGTAGAAAGTTGAGGGTTTAAGTCCATAGGGACAAAATTTGGTGCATGAGTTTTATACTGACCATGTAAAGATCGATAAACACTTAGATTGATCAGTCAAGTCCTGATAATTTCAATTTTCAAATTAAGCCGAACCTCTATTAAACCTCTCCTCTATAGGCTTTTAAATTCTATGTCAAGACGACATATGTTTATAAAACATATACAATCAATAATGTAACTCGTTGTGAGCATATATAAAGCATATTTGAGTACAAGCTTGCAACTTTGTGCTCTCTTTCATACATGATCATTCCATTAGATCGTGAGATTATGTTTTGAGGTGTTGTTCATTGATTGTTTTGTTAACAAGGTAAACAATACCTAGAAGTTCAACCATATACTGAATAAACTGAACACAAGTTTGGATGACTGGTTGTGGAGATCAATGTGCTGATAGAGAAGCGGATAGTGAGGAGCAGATTTGTTGGTGGAGCAATAATTTGAAGGCTTGAGTGGAGAGTTTGGTGCAAGTCTATGTCTCTAGGGTTTGAGAATTTGATTATCTAGTTGTAAAATCTCATTCTCATTGTGGATGTCATTTGCTTGAACTAGGTCACGTGGTTTTTCCGTTTTGGGAATTTCACATAAAAAATATGTGCTCATATTATGTTTGATTGCTATTCTTTTATGATTTTGTATGTTATTGATCTAGATGAAGAGCAGCTAAGACCTATTCATGCTCTCCAAGTCTAGATCACGGCCTTACTGTCGATCAGAGCTTAGGGTTTTGATCCTAATCCCTCAAACGTTTTGCCCCTATTTTTAATAAGAAGTCAGCTCACAAAATTACTACCACCATTTCCTTGGCCGCCCCCCCCCCCCCCCCCCCCCCACTACATTTTTAATGTGTTGTTTGGTATGGGGGAGGATGGAAGAGAGAAGGGATGGAACAAGGCTCCTCCATTTGGTAGGAGGGGGAGCACAAGGGAAGGGAAGGCAAGGCAAGGATGGAGAGGGATAAAGCATCCATCCTGGCTCACCATTTTACTTCCATCCAAATGTGGAAGGAAGAGGAGAGAGAAAAATAAAGAGTTGTTAGATAAATTTAAAAATACGTCTTTACTCTCATTTTAATGTTGTAATTTATATATTTAATGGTATATTAGTAAAATAATAATAGCATCTATTTACTTTCCTTCCATCCAGCCAAAAAAAAGGAGGGATGAACACAATCCCTTCCCTAGGGATGCCTCTCCCTCTCCCTTTCATCCAATTTTCCATCCCTCCTACTTAATGGAGCACTAAAGACAGTAAATGGTCACTATTGTCCTTTCCTTCTCTCTCCTTAGTTCTCCAGACACGAAGAGAGGTCAATAATGTTATCCTCTCTTTCATTACTTTCTCTCGTAATATCAGGACTCGTCCCACCATGTGCAGATCGGTTTTGCTCTACACGAGAGCTCATGGTTTTTAAAACGCATCTACATCGGTGGGAGGCAACGGCCAGCGGCAGGGGAGGGAGACTCTCGACCAATAGATCAAAGAGCTACGGGGCTTTGGTTTATCTTGGGGTTTAGAGTTGTCTCTCAAATCGGGGCAATTAGTCGTGCTTGACTCAACTGGTTCAGATGTCAAGAACAATACGCCCAGCTTTTGAAGGACGGGAAGCAATTAGGTGCCCTCCTTCCTATTCGTTAGTTCGAAGAAAGCGTAGGTTAATAAGGTTATTCACCGTTGATAATGCAGTTTCAGTCGACAGAACGCCCTCTTAGTCGCTCCCCAAAGTGTCTCAATGGGGTACATGTTGCACGCGGGAATACTGTTACCAAAACTGTTTTCGCTGGCCTGACCCTCATGGGCTTGTGCATGGTCCCTCCTTTTCGGCCAGGGATTGGCTTTGATCTGTCAGAAACCGCTCCACGATGAGCAAACACTGTCCGCTTTGTGCTAAACAAGTGCTCATAGTTTTCAGAATGTGTCTAAAAAGGTAGGATGCATGCCCCCTTATAAGTGTCAGGAACTTCTCCATCCCAGGCGATGTGGGACATCACACATGACTAATGCCATCCTCTTCTTTATTTCCATGATTCCATCTTAGTTATTAAAAGTCACTAAAGTGAATAATATGAACTGTCAGCTCATATTGTCTTGGTGCTAGAATTTTGGTTAGCAATTCATCTTCCTCTGCTATTGGCCCCCTCCAAAAAGAATAAGAAGAAAGAAAAAAGGGAGAGAATAAGGCAGAAAAGGATTTCCTCTTGATTGGATGTTCTTATCTTAGACAAGTTAAATTATCATTTTGAGAATTTTAACTATTAAGTTATAAATGCATCGCTTCACAAGCTAATTCTTATCCTAAAGAATTTCTTGTCATGTTTGTTTCAAGGGTGGGAATAACTCCATATCTTTGATTTGGATTGTTTACATAATATCCTGCAATATTCCTCGGCTAAGTTCTTAGTTTCCTTAGATTTCCTATGAAAACTCAAGTATTTTGTATAGCAGGTTTTTCAACTGTTGTTGGTTGTTGACCATGGAGATTGGAGATTGAAGATCTACATTGTAAAACAAGAAGACTAATTTGAAAGATTGGGCTAAGAGGCCATTGTAAAATCTAAATTAAAAATAAAATATTGTAATAGGTCTATGGGGGCCATTATGGCCATTACTTGGTATTATGGTGAAAATTTGTCACACTTGAGATTGTAGGTTGAGTTCGAGGGTGTCCATTTTGTGGGCATATTGGTAGAGATTAGTTCTCTATCCAGTCTGTCCCTCCTTGTCACAGTGGTTAATGGGGACCAGTAGTGGGTAATTTCCTTTTGTCTTCAAGACTATCTGATACATTTGGCATTACCAATGCATAAGCATCTAAGATGTTATGGAGACAATAATGTTACTCGGCATTTTTCTTCACACCATTGTGCATTTCAAAAATGCTATGGTCCTCATAAACATTCCTTTTTGTAATGCTTCATCTTACTTTATGATCCTTTGGTCCTTTCTTTGGTCCATTGTGTTGATTTTGATTACTGAGGTTGTGGTTTCTGATGTAGTGTTCTTAGACTATTCTTCCTGTAGTTTAGTAGTCATTTTTATTGACTTATCAATCCCACCTTTGTTGTTGCCATATATTTAACTATTTATTGTGCTAGTGATTTAGTCATTGTTTAAGCTAGTTTTTCTTCTTACGAAATTGGATGCTCAAAAACTTCTTCGAGTCCTTTCAATCTTATCCAGAAATCATAAATGCTATGATTCTCATAATGTGATTTATTGGTTGAAACCATGGTTCGCTGTGAACTGGCTAGTTTGCAACGATTTTCTGGACTACCCGTCTCTTGTGCACTAAAGCAAAAGCTTAGAGAGTTAGCTGCTTATATAAGTTCACGTTCTCCTCTTGTTTCTTGTTCGCTAGCATTTTAAGATTTCTCTTGCGGATGTTGTTTAAAATTTTGAACTTTGCTCAGAGTCACAGCTGTTCTGGTGTTAATGTGATGCAGTGCTATTTACATGCTTGTCCGATTTAATGATAATGAAACCTTTTGGTATCAGTAGTACCACATGAGTCCATTAACTTGTTTGTCAGTTGTATTCGATAGTTATAGAAGATTTTCGCTCGCGCGTTGGGGGGGTGGTAGAAGAAAGAAAGAAAGAGCTACTAATAGCTTCTTTTTCTTAGACAAGGAACAAAAGCTATTAATAACTTTGAGATGTAATATGGGTGGTCAAAAATGAGCTTTTATGGCAATGAAAATCTACTTAATGCTGTTTATTTTTGTACTGCCCTTTTGTCTTTAACGCCAATTTTATGGTCAATTTAATCCTTTTTTTTGGATTCTGTTTCAGGCTTCTGAACTGCAGACAACTACGATGGAAATGATGGAAGCTGTTGAATTGGAAAAGCAGAAACATAACAATACTAGAATGGAAGCCCTTGGACGGTTGGCTAAACTTGAGGTAGTACAATTAATTTCAAACATTTGCTTTAATTTTCAGGCAGATTGTTTATTTTATTTTATTTTGTTATTGTTATTGTTATTATTATTATTATTATTATTATTTTTTTGGGGGGGGGGGGGGGGGGGGGTGGGGTGGAAGTTATTTTCAATTCTGTAAAAGTCTTTAGTAATGAAGATATTAATTAATTCATATTATTTTTCAGACTGCTAATGCTGACCTTGCAAGATCCCTTGCTACTGCACAATGGAATCTTGAAGTAGAGGTATGACGTGATTCTGATTCTTATAGTTCGGGTAAATCTTATCCATTATTTTTGTTCTGGTTTCTTTTCGAAATAAAATTGTTTTCTTTCAAATTATATTCTCGGTTCAACTGCTTTGCATTCTTGAGTGTGTGAAATGATTTATAGAGTAAAATCAGAAATAATATTGAGTTGATTTTCGCATTTTGGATTCCATTGTTCAAAATTAACAGAATTTGTGAAATATTATTATTTTTTATAAGAAGGGTTGTATTAGTGTGCATGTTTAAATTAATCCGTCTCTATATACACTCTCTCACTTATTGCCATTCTATCTGGGGCAGCTGAAAGTAGATGAAAGAGAATGCATTTGCCAAAAGCAAAGTCCAGGCTTTTTTCTTTTTTTCCTGTGTCAAATGGAAACTCTTTTTTTTTTTTTTTTTACCCTAATTTGGGTAAACTCATTTGTAAATTTCTAATTAGCCTTCTCTATCCGTGGAAGAAAAAAAAAAAAGAGAAGAAGAGGTCTTTGCTATTTTCTAGCTTGCATTCTTATGTGTGCTTATTAATTCCAGAAACCGATGCCATTGGATTGCTTTCCTTTGTTGTCCATGAATGTATTATGTTCTAGCAAAAACTGAATGAATGCTTGGTGAATTTACAACTTTTATTGTGCTTATTCTATAGATTCTTGGCTTTCAAATTTTCACTTACATGATTATCTGAGTGTTGTGTTGCTTTAGTGAGTCTCAGGAAAGGTTCTGGGATGCAGAACTGCAAATTTGGCTGGATCATTTGATAACTTTCAGTTTATACTATTGAACTTCTAAAATTATTTAAAATAGAGTTTTTGAGGTGGGGTTGTGAATTGTACAAGTGAGTTGCGGTGTGTTGGTCAATTGTTACATAGTTCTTTCAATGGCCATTAGAATATTTAGAGGAAGAGCGTTATGAAGCAGTTATTGATTTGTGGAATATAATTATTCCAACTCTTGTTAGTTAGCTATTACATACATGTCGATGGCACTATATTCTTGAATCTTCAGCTACTATCCTTTTTGTCTCGACATATTTTATGTTGTCGACTGAAGTTATCTTTATAATCTACTCACCACAACAATCTCAAGCTTTGTCTTTCCACAATTATATAGTTGAACTTATAGTGAATAGTTTTTTGAAAGTTTTGTTCATATTTCTTTCATGTTCTCTCTCTTTTTGTTTGGGCTTAACTGAGGTATATGTATTGCATTTGCTGATTTGTGGGTATGGTGTTTCATAATCAGTTCGTTTTATGGACTACTGCTACAACCTATTAAATTTCTAAACAGAAGTTAAGAAATGTAAGGTTTTTTGCAATGAACTTACAAAATCTAGCACATCGATGAACTTCTTATACTTTTTGTTCTTTTGTGGACTAGGTTAATCGGGTATCAGAACTCCGGCAACAAACTGAGTTGAAAGAAGCAATCCATGAAGGTATGCTTTTTGACTTTTTTAAGGTGTGGTTTTTGGATATCTGAAAGTATGCCTTTGAATCTTGATCGAGCTTACTCTAAAACTTAAGTTGTTTGAGAGGGTGTAACTTTAATATTGTAGTCTTTAACGTGCCCCCTTACGTTTGACTAGATTTCAGTCCAACATGTACATCATTTATGTGGATGAAGGTGAGATTTGAACTTAGGACCTTGTTTGCTCTAATGTACCATTTTACCCACCGTCTACTCTAAAAGCTTAAATTGCTAAAGAGGGTGTAAATTATATATAATATTTTCTAAGATATTAAAGTAACCCTTTTCCATCCTTCCACTCTATCCTTGTTGTTATAGGCCTTGTTACATGGACTGTTTGATCTTGAATAAAAGTCCTCCAAGAATACAAAGAGAAGCCTTGTTTTAATTTGACCACGCATATGAGGTGTGATGTTTACTAACTCTTGCAAGTGTTGTGATGTTTTGTGCAATGGGCATGATTAGCTCAAAGCTACCTATGAAAAAAATATATTACCCTTTCCTTCTAGACACAGTATCCTTACAAAGCCGAATTACATTATCATCCTTGCCTTCATTCCATATGGATGGGGTAGGCCAAATGAATTCTGTTTTTCCATGCTTTTCTATTACATGCCATGTCTCTTATCTTATTTAATTTTTTAGTCATTTTTAATTACTTCATCCAATGTTATTTTTTGTCGGCCTCATTGTCTCTTAGCGGCTTCTATACAGGCAAATCTTTGCTGTCTTAATGGTTGTTCTATGGGTCTACGGGAATATGTCCATATTATTTGAGTCCACTTTCTCTTGTTGTATCACTAACAAGTGTCATTCTTAATATTTTTACCTCCATTGATTACTAACACTCTTCTAGTCGTTTCTATCATCCATCTCAGATCCTCATTTCAGCTTATGAATTCGTTATTCTTCTTTCTTTTATAACCCCAACATTCTGCTACATATAAGATAATTGACCCAATAACTGTCCATAAAAACACCCTTTTAACTTATTTTGATATTCATCTATCACATAGAAAACCACTACCATGTCTAATTTTGTGCATCTTACTTGACCTCTACTAATTATTACATCATCATCTTTCTTGCTGTCCTTTGTATTGTTGATCCTAAATATTGGAAATGATCATTTTGTGTAATCTGCCGTTCTTAAATTGTTATAATTATATTGTCATTCTATGAGACTTTAATTTTACATTCCATATTTTATGTTTCAGTCTTACTAATTTTTTCCATGTTTCTAATTTTATAGCTAAATTTTCCCTATAAATATCTAATAGTACTATGTCATCGGCAAACAACATGCATGATGGAATGTCTCCTTGGATGTCCTTTGTATCTAAAAGTATTGTTCATAGATATATGCTTAGCGCCAACCTGTGGTGTAATTCTACTTTTATAGCAAAATACTAGTCCCCCCAAAAGTACGAACTCTATTTAACTTCCCAAAAAAAAATAATAATAATAATAAAATTACGATGTCTAGTGTTTATCTCATTATGAATATCTTCAATAATTTTTTTATTTTATATAAAGCCGAAATACATATGATTAAAAACATCGTTTTTGTGTGTTTTATACTTTAATAATGTTTTGTTTTAAACTATTGGGCTAGTGAATAGTTTAATTATTAATATTAATTATTTATTTATTTATTTTTGTAGAACTCCGAAGGAAAATTTTGAATTCTCATCAGACTGGCAATAAAGTGAGTAATATCTCTGCTTGTAATGGTTATAATTCATTGCCAGGGTTTATGAAGGATGTTACTTGTCATCCACTGCTGTATTCTGTCTTCTGCAATACATATTAACAATGGACTCTTTCTAACAAGCTTCACAACTTTTTTTCTTTTTCTTTTTCTTCTCCCGAAAATATTTAGTTGGTTGTTTCAAAAGGGGTTGAATTTGAGCGTGAGATACTTGAGGAAGAGTACTCTTTCATAACAGATAAAGTTGGGCGATTGCAAGAGAAGGTGATTTTTGCTCTGATATATTGTAATATCTGTGTTCATATTCAAGTTATAACATTATTATTATTCATAGTATTCATGAACAAGTTATAACATTTCTATACTGAACTATTTGATAAACTGTTTGTTCTGAGAGGAAAAATCAGAACCCAAGTGCACGTGTTGCTGTCCACTTGGGCTTGAAGATTAAGGATTTCACTTGGGTTGGTAAAAACCCAAAATAAATAAATAAATAAGAAATGTGTCTGATTTGGCTAGCACTATGAGTAGGGCTGCAACTTGGGCGGGCTAACCCAGCCCAACCCAAGCCCAACCCGTAATTTTGAAAATTGGGTTTTAAATTCCCAAATCGGGTTCATGTTCGGGTTGGGTTTTGTCAAAACCCAGGCATATTCGGGTTGGGCTCGGGCTCAACCCGAACCCAACCCGAAACCCAATTTTTTTTTTTTTTTTTTTTCCCTTCCTTTCTCTCTCCTCTCTCTTCTTTTTCTCTCTTCTTTCTCTTTCTCTCTCCGCTGCTTGAGAGTTGAGAGACAGCGGCGACTCCACCGGTGCCAGGAAAGCCTCCAGAGACGGCGATCTCTGCCGGATAGACGAGAATATCACTAGATCCGTCAACACAAATCTTCCCACTTTCTGCAACTTGTAATTCGTCGACGAAGAGGAAATGAAATTCCTTTTTTCCAAACAGAGAGGGGGTAAGCTTGAGAGTTGAGAGACAGCGGCTGAAGCTTGCGAATGGCGAACCCGAACTGGAACAGCGGGCGATGGAAACTGAAAGATCTGGGTTTTTATTTTTTGAACAATCTGAAATGATATGCCGATTTGGTTTTGATTTTTTGAACAAACTGAAATGATATGCCGTGGGTTTTGAACTTTTGATTCTTACAGACAGATAGATAAAACTGAAATATAGGTTTTGAACTTCTGATGATTCTTGTAGATTTTGTAATTTACAGTTGGAGAGAGAGAGAGAGAGAGAGGGTTCAGAGAGAATGGAGATGGAGGCGATAGGGGAGGCTGAAATGATTTGCCCTAAAAATATTTTGCTTTAATATATAATATTTTATATATATTAATATAATATAATATAATATAATATATTATATATAAATTTCCAAAAAAAAAATGAAAATAAAAAACTCAAACCCGTCAACCCGACCTAACCCGCCCGAAAATATTCGGTCCGGGTTATGATCATAACCCATGTTGAGTTTAATTCGGGTTGGCCCAACCCAACCCGCTTCGGGTTGAGGCTGGGTTGGGACTGGGTTGGGTTGGGCAAGCCCAGGTTGCAGCCATAACTATGAGCCTAAGAGATTTTAGCTTGACCTTAGTAACAGAAACTTTGACATGCATTTTTAGATTGTTAGATTTGGAGACTACACTGGATCTTTTATGTTGGAAATTCAACACACATGCCCATGTGGCACATTCTTTTCCATTTCTCTCTCCCACCCCACACCAAATACTTCCCCTTCTCTTTGGAAAAAGGAAAAGAAAATTGGGGATCAGATCTGGCACCTATGTAGATCCTAGCACTTGACGCTTAGCTACGTCATTGACATAGGTTCAAATTGTTCTATTCAGATCCTTTTCTCAACTTTCTCTGTTTTCACCCAAGCATTGGCTGTTATATAAAATAAACAGCACAAGAGCTTATAGTATGATTGATTTATATGAAAAAGACCCTGTAATTTTCTTCCCTGGATAGACCATCTATGAAAAAGATTGAACTTTGTAGTTCGATATAGGGTTCATAATTCAGCACAAGTTTCTCTTTATTTCAGAACATGTGTTGAGTACTGTTGTTTGATATGCTCCAACTTAATACTACCTTATAGGCAAAGACTCTTGAAACAAACATCAAAATGACCCAAAAGGAGATGGAGAATCCAACTGAAGTGGAAATTGAGCTCAAAAGAAGGCTTGGTCAGCTGACAAATCATTTGATTCAGAAACAATCCCAGGTTTGTCTTTCATTCCTTGAACCGATGGATAATTTGTTGGAGTAAGAAAGCTTAAATTGTTTGCCTTTCTAATGGCCAAACCATTAATGTGTCCTACTTAATATAAATATATCAATTGACCTATCTCTACTCTTTGCCAATTTATAGATATGGCCTTTTCACCCTCTTTTGTACCTAATTGCATATAAATCTTTTAATGCATTTTATATTGACTATTACTACATAGCATGGATTGTTGCCCCTCAGGAGTTGAATGGTGCAAGAGCAAACAAAATATCAGTCTTTTCTTATTGTGTAAGACTGATAATTATGCTTCTCTATATGAGCTGATCGAGGTATTAAACCTTGAACAAGTGTTCGATTATGATCTTGTCCTTTTTGGTTATTATCCACTCCTAACAAAAGACACTTTCTTCAACACCACTCCCTACAGCATCTTTCTTTCCGTTTGGTCATGGATCTTAACTTAAAAATGGATTTTATGTTTGAACGTTTTAACATGTAGTTGAGGGCCTAAGAATGCATTGTAGGAATTGAATTTCACTAGATTTTCAATAAATTATCCTTATAATTCTGCTTGTTATATTCCAGGTTGAAGCCCTCTCTTCCGAAAAGGCGACACTGATGCTCAGAATTGAGGTATTATCATCATCCTGGTGCTACTGCTACCTGTATATCGTACTATAAACTTCAGGCTTTTTGCTTTACACTACAATTGAATGCATCTGAATTATGTTTTTGCAGACATCTTCAAAGTTTCTGGAGGAGAACGATGGTGATTTACCCAGTACTTCATCCAGGGATGATTTAGAATCAGGAATATTGGAACTCCCCAACTCCAAACTGAAAGAGAGAATTCGCTCTGGGCAGCGGCATTTAGGATCATTGGTTCAGCAGTTGGACTCTATTTTTTGTTTTGGCGCAGTATTTTTAAGGAGAAATCCAACTGCAAGATCATGGTGTATTGTTTACCTTGTATGCCTTCATCTCTGGGTTGCATATATTCTAATGTCACATTCTCCAGTTTCAGATGAGGCCAGGTCCGGTGCAGTCATTTCCTTGCAGAACATTAATAACACTGGAGGCAGCGTCTGAATTTTATCCATAACATGTGATTTATTGGTTTTACCTCATTTTTAGCGAGGTTTTTACTGCTTGAGGTGATGTTAATGCACTCTCCCCTCAAGTCCAGTTACAAACTAAATGTATCGTATTTACATATCATTGCAATTTGCAAAGCTAAGACAGCACAAATACAGTTCAAAAGATTTCCTTTCAGATCCTGTTGCGGCCTTGTCCTTGCATTAGGGCATGTATGAGCAAATTTTTATCTTGCTTCTATTTCAGTAACTAAAGCAATTTTTGTCTTCTAAAGTGAGAAAATTTACATAACCAATAAATAAAAGTAGTCATGGCTCATGCCCCTTACATATATATCCTTAAATAACAAATATGCCGAATCTTTCATAATTGGGGCAAAATTTTTAGGGTTATTCTTTAGCAAACAACAAATCATATAATTCCTTTCATGTATTCGAGGTCAAAGCATAAATGATGAATGGTCAAGCCTTGGGGCTTTTGAAAAAAAAAAATAACATGATCAATGCATTCAAATTCAGGTCAATTTCTGACACACCAACTGCCTTGGGACTAAACTTTAGTGCCCCACGAGAAAGCCCCACAGATAGGGTCCTCATGGTTAATATTGAATTCACATGACATTGGTTCATAAGTAACATATTTGAGCCGAAGACACATTAATAAATCATTACAATATCATATCACTAGCATCCTCTGTGGCTAACCCATCTTCAATCCACTGCAACTCTCATTGGAACTTGTTCTACACCTTACACAGACAGTAAATCACTTTTAACATAAATAAATCAGCAGGGAGCATCAGTGAAATGTAGAAAAAATTATGAAAGAGTAACTTGATTCTCTAGCATCTATTCACAAATTTAAACATTAGATAACATCACTAAATGTAACAAATCTACATCAAAATAAGTGGTAAGCTTCAAAACGGATTGAATTCAACATTTGTAATCAAACCATAAAATGCCAAAATTATCAAGAAGTGTCTACAGTGTACTAAAAAACAATGAACCAAGGATTGTAGCCCAATGGTATCCCCTCTATCTCCCAAAGTGGAAGGCTGAGGGTTCAAGATTCCATAGGGCAAAGTGGGTGTGTGAGTTATTTATCAGGACAAAAAATAAACTGATAATTATGTGATGCACGTTAGCATTATTAAAGATATATAATGTTAAAAATGTAAATGACCGTTGTGTTGATGACTTCTCAAGTATTCATAGCACATATTTGAGCTAGTAAAAGTGGAACACAAGGTCTTCTAACGAGAAATAGTTAGCACAAGTTACTTTTCTCTACAATACATGTTTAGCTGTGACTTAGAAATTCAGCGAAAGAAGTGTAATTAGTGGTAGAAAATAGAATTGCACTTTGATGATGCAGTGACATCTTTAAATGTCACTAATTATATGTAGTTTAGCATTTTAGTAATGATTTCTAATTTTATCAGCAATGGTAGTTAATTTACTAAGGAACTTTTTTGAGCAAAAAATTCCTAATGTGACATTTTTAACAGTGATTTAAAAAATGGAACGGCTAGATATTGCAGAAATTTTATATATATATATATATATATATATATATATATATATATTTTACCATATTATATATTTAGATAAATAAAAAAACAAAAAATGAGGGATTACTGCAGTTAATATAAATGTTTACCCCCGAGAAAATTATGCTTCAAAAGAAATTTTAACAACCAAATGATATATTTCCTTGCAAAATTATTATGCAGAAATCAGAAGAACACCAACTCTGCATTGCAGTTTTATAGTCTTTACCAGTTTGGGCCTTCTTGAGGAAGATTTCGACTGTAGAAAGGAAACTCAAACAGGAAAGCTGTTTTGAACCATGAGGGTAAGTTCCCATATAAGACAGGCGGCAGCAGTATCAGAGGGCTGGAACAGTTAATGTTGCTTCCATCAGTTTCTCTTCCAAATTACATTTATGATGATAAAAGAATCAATAAAAGAAAAAATCAACAAACCTGGTATTTCTTTTGTACAGCCTGTATCCATCCACATTGCCGAACTTTTTATCTGCTGACACCTGTTTTTCATGTTTAAAACATGAGCTCATTCACAGAAGGTATAGTATTTCAATTAAACCAAAAGCAAAGAATCACAAACCTCAAGCATAGGTATGCCACTGACAAAAAGAAGCAACAATGTAAGGAACAATGGCCCAAATATAACAAGCCATTCAGCACCTTCCAGCACAGGTGTGGAAGCCACAAAGACACCCCACCAAAGGAAAATCTAAACACAAAAAATCACAAGACAAAAAATGAAATCAAGGGAAGTGACACAAATGTATCAGGTGATGCATGATCATTGTAATGTTAATAAGGTATCTAATAGTTCTTTTGAGGGTGAATTACCTCGACCTCTCCTCAGGTTTGGCCTTTTCATCCATAGATTAAAGTTTGTGTGATATCATTCTGACCAACCCTATCAGCATTAGGGCCATTTCTGAGTCAAAATGTATCAGGTGATGCATGATCATTGTAATGTTAATGAGGTATCTAATAGTTATTTTGAGGGGGAATTACCTTGACCTCTCCTCAGGTTTGGCCTTTTCACCCATAGATTAAACTTTGTGTGATATCATTCTGACCACCCCTATCAGCATTAGGGCCATTTCTGAGTGAAAATGGTTACTACATATTAATCATTTTATCCTCACAATAAACACCACAATAACTGATGTTTTGCTGACTTAATCAAAATGTTTTGAATGGACAAATTTGATCCTCAACTAATATTAAAAGATATCTTTCAAACCCATCTAAAACATCGGTATCCTCTCATTTCCCTTTAATATTTAATAGTCCTATAATACATATAGTTCGAAATTAAAATATATATTTAATAATATCAAAATTAAATATAGATTTAATTTGGAAAATCTAAAGTTTAATCTCTCTCTCTCTCTGTGTAAAGAAGGCTTGACCTCTTCAATCATTTTCCCAAATGATTATGAGATGAAGATGTTGAGGGCATTTGTGTTAATGGATTGGTGTTGAATTTACAATTCATTACACTGTGACTTTGCTTGATGGTACCTAGTTCATTCGAGATACAAAATGCAACAAAGGTGGAGGTAACGAGTGGTGGTGGCGATGGACGTGGAGGTGGAGGTGGAGATGAAGACGGTGGCGGTTGGTAGATGGTCTGCTGCCTTTATATGTTATGTGTAAAATTATATATATGTAATAATCCCCAATTATATATTTATCAAATAGAGGTGGAGGTGGCAGCGGCTGGTGGAGGGTTTGTTGCCTCTATGTATTACACAGATATAATATATATAAAAATCCTCAATTATATATTTAGTGGGATATATAGATATACATGGAACATACATATTTTACTTATCAAAAAATATATATATATGGAACATACATATTTTAAAATTCTTAATAGAATTGAATCAAAACCGTAACTAGATTATGTGTAATAAATAAGGGTATTTTTGTCATATTAATATGAGCATATCAGTAATAACAAATAAGTAAAGGTTAATATTATCAGTTTAGTGTATCTACGGGCAATTTTGACATCAGTGTAATAAAGCTGATGGTTCTAATGGCCACTTAGCAACCAGGAGGGAATCTGTTATTTTGTTCAAAAAATCTCAAGGGAGGTTGACTGCAGATTTGAAAAATGTTTAATTTATGAGTGAAAAGTTGAAACTTCAGGGGAGGTCAGGGTAATTCATATTTGTAAATTGTTTATTACTTATAGAAGATTTTTTGTTTTTAGAAAAATGAGATGACTAGAAATGCATGACAAGCTTCAATCCTGGACCCAGTGAAAAAATGGAACTCACTTCATGAAAGAAATTGTTAACACATGTGATGAACAGTATCATTTCCCTTCTGCTGGAAACAAAAAGGGAAATCCATCCCTCTTAACATACAAGAATATGATGTCAACAATATTTCCAGCTGAGCCATTTTAATCCGTAAAAATATTCCAAGGTCATGTTAGGTTCTTTTGTGAGATGAGGAATTTAAATACAACGTGGTGACGTACGTATGTACAAAACTAGGGTGCAGTAGTGTCCATCAATGACCATACATGCACTAGTATTATTTGAAATGGTAAATCACAAATAGGGGTGGCAATATTTGACATGACACGGGATAAGTGTAGGGCTGAAATCGAGCCGAGCCAAGCCGAGTAGTGGGCTGTTTGAGCTCGGCTCGATCTACAGCAGGAGTGTTCGAGCTTGACTTGAACTCAAATCGAGCCTCGGCTTCATTGTTTGAACTCGGCTCAACTGTGTTCGCCAAATACTTGAGCTCGGCTCGAAATTCGTTTATATATATATATATGAAACGCACAAAACACACATACAAGAACACATCAAGAACCCTAGACATCAAAATCTGAGATCCCAAAAAGTTTGTTATAAAATTTGAGGTCCCAAAAGAAAGTAAGAACAAGGAAATTGGGGGTTTTCGGTAAGGAGTTGAAGGAGAAAAAGGTAAGAGCCCTAGACATCAGCACCGCACTTCGCATCGATCTTGTCTCAACAATACTTAGCTTTCGTCTGTAAGAGATATATATATCGTGTGTGTGTGTGTGTGTGTGTGTGTGTAAGGAGGGAGAGAAGAGGAGAGAGGAGGGTTGAGTGGTGATGGATGAAGGCGGTGAAGCTACTGGTGGTAGATGGAAGGGATGCCGGAGGTAAAAGAGAGGGTAGATGAGGGAGTGAGATCCCGGACACCGTCGTTGATGGTTGGGGATCGTTGGTGGTTGCGGATTGTTGGTGGTCAATGATGGAGAGAGTCTGAGAGAGAACAGATATAGATGGAGAAAGTCTGAGAGAGAACAGATCGAGATGGAGATTGGAGGCGCAATTTCCTTTAACCCTAAACATAAAAGTCTTTATATACAAGGACAAGAAAGGCTTATTTGCATAATAACCACAAACTCTATATACAATAACAATATGACCCCAATATAAATATATATCTACATATAAATGTAATACATACAATTACAATCTGACCCCAATTTTTGTATATATTATAATTGGGTATGCGTGTGTGTGTGTGTGTGTATATATATATATTATAATCGAGTATGTTCGCGAACGCCATATCGAGCTCAGTTCGTGAACGGTTCATGAACAAACGAGTCGAGCATACTAATGTTCAGGCTCGACTCGTTTATAAATCGAGCCTCATAATTCGGCTCGAGCTCGGTTCATTTATAAATGAATCGAGCTCGAACTGAGTAATTCACGAGCTAAGCCCGAGCAGTTCGCAAACGGCTCGGCTTGTTTATAGGCCTAGATAAGTGGGTTTGGGTTTTTGACTTAATCGTGTTCAGGTCGTAATCGTGTCGACCCGAATTGACACGGTTATTAAACGTGCCCTGTTTTTATTTGCCCGTTTATAACATGATTAACCCATTTAACTAAACGTGTCGAGTCAAAAATGACCCGTTTAGCTAACCATGTTGGATAAACGTGTTGTGTTTGTGTCAATGGCTTAAACGTGTGTTGTCGTGTCGTGTCAAATCTTCACCCATTTATTAAACGGGTTAAGCGTGTTGTGTCGTGTTACCTGTGTAATAATCGATTAATCGTGTCGTGTTTGTGTCGACCCATATAACAGGATACCCATGTCCTGACATGACACACATATGAATTGACACCCCTACAAATGATACTTATATAATAAGACAATAACAGTCTTAGTTTTGTTGCAAAGGCTGTTACACATGACTGGTTGCAATTGATGAGAAACTATGCAGCATTGGTTCCAAAGAGAGAAAAAGCATTACTAACCTCACCGAAATAGTTTGGATGACGAGAGTATTTCCAAAGTCCAACATTGCACCACTTCCCTCTATTTACTGCGGAGTTTTTGAATGCTAGTTTTTGTTGATCAGCTATAGCTTCAACAATAACACCTATTGACCACATAATCCACCCAATTATGTCCACAGCTTGAAGAGAAGGATCTCTATCACTTGCATTAACAATTGTGACGGGTAAACTCACAGTCCACACCCAGACAGCCTGCCATAGATTTAGAATTGATTGATTATAGAACTGAGTATAATAATTTTTAGCATGTACTTATAACTTGCAAGAACCACCAAGACACATCTACATTGTACTCTATGCTTCAGAGAGAAGCTTAAAAACCTGAAATATCCAAAAAATTGCCAATTTGCCCAAGTTACTACGCATTTCATCAAAGCGTCGATCTTCTCCCCATTGCAAAATCCTGATAATAACATTACAAAATCAAACACCATGACTGGGAGTAATCTCCAAGCAATATTTTATAAGAAGTATTCTTTCATGTTCCATAAGAGTAACGTCAAAGCAATCTTTCATGTTCCGATGATGATGACAATGACAATGCACGTCACTGGAATAAGGTATACATTTAAGCTTAAGCATTCTTCTTTCTGGATATAAGAATAAACAACTAAAAGCCCAGAATAGCACAACTGTTCTGGTGACATAAGGATGCAGATATTGACATGGCAACCATGAGGACGAAACAGCTAGGCAGCAGAAAGGAGTAGTTTTTAAATTTTAAAAAAGATTCTGTCTTTTTGTGTATTAAACTTCTTCTGAAATGCGCAACAAGAGAACTCATTGCAGCTTTCTGAAGTGCGCATCAAGAGAACTCATTGCAGCTTACAGATTTAAAACCCAAAAATAGAGTATTTTGGAAAGAAATAAAATAATTTGAAGCTAAATACACACATATAATTATGTTTGAATAATTAGGAAAAACTTGGATATAAAATGATTTTTTTTACTTTAACACTCATTTCAAATAAATACATATAGACAACATAAACTAGTCCTCATGTCTCAATATCAGAGATTAGTCATATTTATTGACAACGATAAATCTATTTATTTCAATTTTCACTATTAATTGTTGGGCACAATATTTCCTATCTACATGTAGTATGTAGACCAACATAGAAGAGGGATTGTAGAAGATAAAAGTGGTTAAAATAAAATAAATCAAGTATGCCAATAAAGCAATCATTGGCACATAAAAACACTTGTTTTCATTGCAATAGCATTTTAAGGATAAAAAGAGAAGAACCTGATAACGAGATATACATACATTGCATCAAATTATATTCTTTAAAGTCATCTATAGATCAAACCAGTAGCAAGCAAATGTCAAAAGGAACAATATTAAAGTACCCAAAAAGAGAAAGTTTAATAAAGAAAAACAAACTTCACAATATGATAAATTCCAGCCAACAAATAAAAAGAAAAAAAAAAAAAAGAAAAGAAAAAGAAAATCCAACTAAATCTGCTAGAATTCTTACAAAGCAGTAACATCTTTAAATCCACAATAGAATTGCATTTTTCAACTACTTCCATGCATGTGCACAGATTGCCTGTCCATCTGAAAAGTCGCTATAGAATCCTTTAGCTCTATAGCTTTATAAGCCATCTGTTGCTGAAAATAGTTTCGGTCAAGTATCACTACCATTAATTCCACTGAAATAACGATATACCTATCATTTTACAAAATGATACTAATACTTTGTCTTTTATTCGTTTTCTTAAAATATATCTACAGTTATATGCTAGTTTAATTTGCAAGATACAGAATGACAGCTAACTTTGAAGTTAAAACAATTCAGTCATCATAGGTTATTCTAATGGGCAAAACTCTACAGTGCAATCTCATTGAGTTGCAATATGCAAAATTACTACATGATATGAGGTCAAGCTTTTCTAATGGAGTACTTGATGTGACACCCACAAACTTAACTCATAGTTTTCACATACAATTTAATATGATTATATGTAATCTATTATCAATATAATTGATATATGTTCCTTTTCAAATATGAGCCTACTTACGTTACTTCTAATATGTTGCTCAAAATTAATGATTCTGTAGTTGGAAATGATCCTAAAAACATTTTACAAGATTGTACTTTTTGGCTGCTGATTCTTCAGTCCGAAAAAAAGAGCAGGATTAAGATTTTTTTTTTTTTCCCGTCTTAGTTGGGTACTCACACACCCATGCCTCCACTAAGGCTTGAACCCTTGACCTCTCTTTGAGAAGTAAGGGCTTGGTACCGCTGGACCACTGACCCGTTGGTCAGGATTAAGAAAATTACCTATGCAGGATATCGGGCTGTAGGATAAGAAGCAGAATACCATCATGAATCATTAATGTAATAGCAAATTGCATATCACCGCTCGAAAATAAGACCAACCGTATAGCAGCATTAGCGGAATACGTGGACTTCATATATAGTAGCACATTAGGGTTTCAAAAGCTGCATGGATTATCAGACTCTCTTATCTCTCTATGTTTCTATATTTTCTTCCTTCTTATTTTCCTCATTTATGATTTATCACAGGCCAAATCAAAATTGCAACTAAAATGACATGAATAAAACAAGCAGGTTTCAATGAGAACATTGAGTGAATGAGTGCATTATAAATAAAATATGAGTAAAATGAGATATCACGGGTGGTTGGAGTGCAGCGCCCTTGTATGGAAAGAGATATGAAGAGTTGCAGTAGATAATATGGCTAAAGTCACCAAGATCAATGGGTTCACCAACAAGGGGGGAGCAATTCCATTCAGGTTTTAGGCCACTGCAAGGACAAGAAGAGTTAAAAAAATGTGGTTGATGCAGAGGAAAAAGATGTGAGGTCGTTGATACAGCTGAGCAGTGAAAAGAAAATTCAAAGCCAGCCAAAGTAGTCAGGATGTAAGGGTTTCTTTGGAGGAGTAGTATTTCGTTAAGAGAATGTCATTCGTTAAATGTCCCACAACCTCACTTTATAAAGTGTGTTCATTCAGGCTCTGCTAATCAAATATGACTTGATCCATATCATGTTATAAATACACTTCTTACCAATAAAGTACAATATATGAAAATTTTACATTCAAAATGCCAAAAGACAAAATTCCCCATCATTTTTCAATCATACCTCAGCAATAGAAAAAATCCCAGCCGAAAGCCCCATACTACTACAAGCAAGGTCAAAACAACCTGAAAATATAGTATTGCAATATCAAATATGGGACTATAACTCCAACAATATGCTCAACTCGAGCAGGTACAAGTTTTACAATCATATAATGTAACAAAGTCAAGCAGGTACATTTTTTCAATTATATGACGCAACAACTCAGTTTTTAACCTTTATCAATTCAAATGTGTTGTCGTGTAGAGTTAGTCCAGCATTTAAAATTATAAATGAACATCAGTGACAAAAGAAGACCCTTAATATTTTTTTATTAAGAAAGAAAAGCAGGAGAAAATATCATTAGTGCATAGTAAATGAACTCCTGGAAGCCAGTAAACAAAAGTAGAAACCTACTTGGAGCTATTTTTACCTTGAATTAGCAAGGAAAAAATCATTCAAAAGAAGTTCGAAGTAGAAAAATCAAAGGCCTATTAAAACAATTAAAAAGACAATATGGCCTTTTTCATTTGCATAAAAATAATTGTCATCCATATTTAAAGGACTACAAATTTTGTTTGTAGCTGAATAAAAGAACAGTTTGAGAACAGATTAATCCAGATTTTTGACAGAAAAGTCGTTTCCATTGGGAAAGGAAAAGTCAGAGACAAACAAAAAAATCTGAGAGCATAGCCCTGAGAATGAGAGATTTAGAGGGAATCATCATCACATCCTTGGCTTTATCCCAAGTGAAAGTAGGGAATGATAATCTCATTTTGAGAAGTGAAAAGCAAATACAAAATCTGTAAAGAGAGATGCTCAAGATTGTGGTAGAAAAGGAATCCTAAAGAGGAATATTAAAGAGAATAAAGTTTTCATCTAATAGATTATTCATAAGAAAATAACAACAATACAATTTTTTTTTACTCGTGTTTTGTTAGTAAGTAAGAAACACGTAAGCACACATAATGATCCTTTATGAAGATGAACCCTCAACTTTTCACTTGAAAAGGAGAGTTACTTGCACTATGACAGATCAAGAGTGGGTAAACCTGGGTGGGAACTGGGAACCTAAGCAAACTCTAAAGAGAAGACAGATGGCACTGAGTGTCCAATTCCTCGAGCTTCTTATAGGCTAGAAGGAAAAGGTAATGGAGACGAGTATAAATATCTTAATTGTGATCAGCTTAGTTGTTGTTCTGGGTTAAATGCAGATTAATGGCCTTTGTGTAATGACGGAGGATTAGTGAATTGCCAAATTGTTATTTTTAATACTCTCTCGAGATTTATCTATGGAATGGAGTTCTCAAAATCTTTACTGTATCTGAGCTTCATGCATAGATAGAAACTCCTCAAGCTCTTTGAGAGGAGCTCTTTGATGACTTCAATACTCCCTCAAGGTTTATATGTGGAGGATTTTCTCAAGATCTTAAATACTTCCTAGAGGTTTATTTGGAAAAAGGAGCTACTGAACCTCGAGGTTCAAGCTCGAGAGAATCTTGGCAAACTTCAAGGCTTACTTGTGATGCCATGTAGAATCATTTAAACATGCACAAAAGGGCTGCCCATGTTTCAATGTTACATATTATGGGGGATTGTGTACCCATACCTCCTATTTCGATGCCATCCATGATATGGCATCATGCACCCACCATTTATAAAAATTGGAATATCCTTTATGCTCCAGTAGATTAATAGATTGATTAATCAATCTATCTTGGCATTCATGACCAATAGCTTTTTGGGAACAAATCTTTGAGCCAGATTCACTTGCTACTACATTTATAATTATATTTAAAAAAAAAAGTTAATATGACCAAAAACACATGAATCCTAAAATATGTGGTTTAGGGAATATATACCATTTTAAGACAATCAGCATTCAGCTGAGCAGATGTGGCAATTTTGCGCAAAATAATGCTAGAGATTAGGTAGTCTCTAGCCTCCCCTCTCTACACCCCACTTAGGCAAATACAGTGTAATGAACTGATTTAATGTGATCACTGCAATTACCACTATCGTTGGCAATACAAACTGGCCTCTCTTACAAGAATGCATATCCTCTCCAAGGAACTTTACTCCTAAAAGGTTCGTTGGCAATTACGTTTTAAGTGCTTATAAGTATCTGAATATGACTTTCGAGCAGGGGAAAAAACATTTATTGAACATGAGGAGTGCAGAATGGAATTTATGTACTTGTATAACCGGATTGGAAAGCATTACAACAACCACCAATTCACTTCTATTTATTGATATTCAAAGATGTCAAAGAGGCTTCCTCGATGTACAGAAATAGTTGTCTGATGCATTTTCAATTTGGTAAAATAAGGAAAACAGAATATGAAAGTGCGAGAAATAAGTGCTGCATTACACTTGAAAAAGAGAATCTTACCTGTCGAAAATGCCATGATCCTTTGACAACCAGGGTCAACACAGCAATTATAACAAAGTTTGTGCTTCCTGTTAAAGAAGATAACCAAAGTTACTGGACATAATCACATTATAAATAACATGGAATGAAGGGGGAAAAAAGAATTACGAAAGAAAGCAAAACGCAAAATCACAGTATTTCAAAAGGCAAAGAACCAGAATGAGTTCAAAATGTTTAAGATAAAGACAATGACTGAATTCACTTGCCACAAGAACCCTCCATTTGACTACTTGGAACTTGTCAAATGGCAATAACATTTATTCATGCAAACAGTAATGCAAAATTGTTTCTAGACTCCATTTGCTATCATGGAAAATGCTAGTGGGCAAGTTTTTCCAGGATTTTTTTTAAAGCTCTGTCAAACAAACGCACAAAAGTGTAGGAATAACAGTTGCTTTGATTTAGTAGGAAAGAAAAATAACAAGAAGAAAACAAAACAAAATTATGAAACTTGCAAATTACGCAGTTTAATTGTCAAAAAATTAAAAATTTGAAATTGGACCAAACAAGTAAGCCAAATTGCAGTAGGTTAAGTTGCGTGAAGGTTAATAGTCAAACAATAAATTCACCAATATCAAAATTCTCATCCATTTTTCAACATTTTCTCGTCATCCAAAAACGTTAAGATTAACTGAATTTTATCCAAATATGAACTCGTTAAAAACCCATTAAAAAAGGAAAAAAAGAAAAACAAAAATTAGCAGAAGAATAGTAACGAATGACAATAATACCTGCGAAGTCAGTGACTTTATCGAACTTGAGAAGTGCTGTGATTACAAAGAACAACAACTGATAACACACCTGCAATAACCAAAAGACAAAAAATTTACACAAATTACATATTGTATATGTATGTGTATGTATATGTGTGTGTGTACATATATATATATAAACATATATAAAGAGAAAGAAAGAGGAGTACAGTGACAATAGCTGTGAGGGCTAAAAAATGGGAGTCGATAACGGTTCCCATGATCTTTCACAACTGAAAGAATACATTTGACTAATGGCTTAATATATACATATGCATATGCCGTGTATAAGGAAGAGTCTTTCTTGACTGCACAGTACATGTGGTTGGGAATTGAACAGCCATGCCAGAGGGGAAAAGGAAAAAGAAAAAGAAAAAGAAAAAGAAAAAGCCTTTATAATTTTATTTTATTTTATTTTATTGAAATTCAAAGAGAAAATGATGGTTATCTGTATAGTTCAGTTTTCTAGAATAATTTTATGTTTTTAAATAACTGAAAATTATAAAATTATCTGATTATTATTATTTTTTAAAAATAAAAAATTTGACCAAACAGACCCTATCTAATTACTAGTATTACTTTACTATCAAACAAAATTAATCAATCATTTTAATTAGGGTAAAGTAAAAAAATAATCTCTGGACTATGTCCAAATTTACAAATAATCTCCCTCAAGTAATTTTTTTTTGCATAAAACTCTTGAACTATTACATTTAGTTGCAAAATGCTATATTACCTTGACTATTTTTTATTAAATGACTATAATACAATTTCTTATTTAATTACACTTGATCTATTTTTCTTGTTGAAATAAATTATTAAAAAAAATCATACGAATTTAATAAAAAAAATCTATTTTTCTTGACCATAATTCATTTAGTTGCATAAGGCTTTTAATTTTGAAATCAATTATTTAAATAAAAATCATAAGTAGAAAATATTGAAATAATTTAAGTAATTTCTTAATTTTTCATGAATATATTGCATATTTTACGTAGTTTATTAATTTTTCATAAATATTGTATGAAAAAGAAGGTATTTTTTTACACTATTTTTTTTTTTTTTTTTTTTTTAAGTGAGTATAATAAGTAATATTATAATAAGTTAATCATTTTAGAAAATGGTAGTTACTAATCTATTTATTATTTTCATTTTTTATGATAAATTGATACTAATTATAAAATTAAGGTAAATGGTATAATTAATTTTTGAATAAGAGAAAATTTAATAAAAAAATAATTTACTAAGAAATGACAATTTTAATAAGAAAGGGTAAAATAATCATTTGTGATATGCTTATTCTTAATTGCAACAAATTAATAATTTAGAGAAACAATCTTTACTTCAGGTGAATTATTTACGAAAGGACAACAATTTAAGAGGGTTTTTATTTTTTATTTTTTATTTTTTAACGTTTTACCCTTTTATTTAATTCATTTTAGTACCTTGAGAGTTGAGAAGTCTTGCCAATCCAGTCAACAAGCCTAATCCATTAACATTAAATTATATTATATTCCCCTTTATTTTCATGAATATATGTGTAGATTTCACTCATTGTTTAAATCAAACTGACAAATAATATAGCTTTTTTTTTTAGCCAAAATAAATAGCAACACCGTTCTACTGCCCCAAGTGAGATGATTTCTCATGCCCAAAAGAAAGGTAACTCGGCTCAATCCCATACATAAACATTTGTTGATGTGTGTGAATATTTAATTAATTAAAAAAATAGAAAATAATTTTTTTTTTTTTTTTACATTTAAATATGTTCTAAAGGCTTAAATACATGATGGTCGATTGCCATCTAATTTGTGAAATAATTGAAAGGAGAAATACACACGGCGTATGCCCCATCCTCTTATTAAAATGATTTTATATTATTAAATGGAAAGTTTTTGGCAAATGTTTATTTTGAGGTTGAGATCGAGTCAATTAGACGGGGCATGTAAAATAATTTGTCGAAAATTAATAATTATATTATATATATATATATATATATATTATTTTTGTTAAATTTTAATATTTTTTATCGGGTGAACATCCCTTAAATCTTCAACGTCACTTTTGTACATTTGCATATATTATAGAGGAATGAAAGCAGAGTCCATTTTATCCAAAGGCCATTTTCTTTACCTTACAACTAAGACACAAGTTGAAACTTTGTTAGTCAAAGGAATGAGTCTCAACCTAAGGAATGAAAGCGTGAAAGTAACAAAATTAAATTACAAATAGTAAAAATTAGAGCAAGAGTGCGCTCGGAACGTGAGAAAGATTGTGTGACTTAGGTCTCAATACGGTAACATACAACACTCTATCAGAGAAGTATTTGCTCCGAGATAGAATTATGTAGGATCTTATAACTTCTATTGATGATTGTGTATTAGCTTCGCTTGCATCAGAACATTTGTGAGATTATGATATTTGGAAACAATTTTCAAAAAATAATTCTGTTTTTTTGGAAACAATTGTGTAGAATCCGCTTGATTGATTGTAATATGAAAAACTACAAAATGAAAAATCATACTACACAATTTTTCTGGTCTTTGAAAACTTGTGTAGTAGTAGTTCTGGCTCTTTTTAAAAACCATTTTCAAATAACTAAACAAATTAAACAATACCTTTATTTCGTTTTGCTTGGATATATATTCATGATTCAATATAAAGAAAAGACACAATTCATGAAAATGTGAGGATATACACTACGCTTCCTTTTGCTTGGGTATTATATTCATGATTCAAGATAAAGAAAAGAGACATTCATGACAATGTGAAGATACAGTTTCTATATATTTGTTCATTGCCCATAACTGCACAAAGACATTAAAAAATCAAGCTGGTGCAATTGAAACTTTGTCAACCTCAACAATGTATTCAAGTGTGGCATATGGGGGGATCTGCACCCCTGTATCTAAATCAGCACCCTTCTCTCCAAACCCTAGATTAGAAGGAACAATCACTCTCCTCTTACCACCAGCCTTCATAGACCTCAAAACATATTCTATCCCTTCACACATTCCCTTTGAATACGGCCTCGACCCCATTACAAGAGCCAATGGCTTCTTTTCACCACTGAATGTATCAACAAATGCAGCCTTGCTACCTTCCACACTTCCCTTAAGATCAATCACCACCAAGTCTCCACGCCGTGGAGAAGCACCACCGCCAACTTTGATCTCGTAGTACCTGATTAATTTAGATGTATTTGTGATAAGAACGAGAAGGATAATGATTCTTAGACCTAATAGTTTAGCCGAGAATCCCAAATCTTGGCTAAACTATTAGGTTTGAATAACATTGTCGTACTTTGAAAGGTCAATCCTAACAAGAAATGTACCTTATCCCATTAGGCAACACCACCTCTTCTTTCTTGTCAACATCTCTGCAAAACAAGCCAATTACTATCATTTTGAAACTAATATGAAGCTCAAATGAACAAGTTTCTAGAGCACATACCTTGTATTTGCTTCTTGTTGGGAGACTTCAAGGCGGGTTTTTATTTGCTCAGAGAGCACGCCAACAGCTAGGAAGCCAGCCCATGCAAGGCCTGCGCCAAGTCCAAACCTCCTGGTTAAGCTGGATGCTATCCAATCAGTGGAATCAGCAGTTGTGGTTGGATTGGCAGGTCTAGGAGGCTTTTGTCGTTGCACGTTAACTGAGACCGGTGATGGTTGTTCCGCGGAGGATGTGCTTAGGGATGGTAATGGAGATTGTGGTTCTGGTGGTTGAGGAGGAGGTGTCTGTGAAGATGAAGAGAAGTGGTAAGTTCTTGTAATTGGGTGAGAGAGAAATGGTGGAGAGCCAAAGAAGGTAGCCATTTTTAGGATACAATCCTACTCTGGAAATTTGGATTGCAACAAAAGGAAAAAAATCTGGAGTCCACTGAATAAGTAGACAATGGTCCCAACCTTATCCTCATATATGATAGGATTTCCAGTGGTAGGCCTCTCTCTCAGTTTCTATTGCCAATTATAAGGGGTGTTTGGCTGCAAGGAAACCTGTGTAACTCATTAACCTGTAACAAATAATACAGATTTCATACTCATTTTTGGAATGCCAAATCTATTCAAGTAAAATTGGTTTCATTGCAGCCAAACATGCCTCAGGTACATTTTTGGAATTTCACTTTGTCCAGGATAACAGCTACTCAAATCATCTGACATGAGATTAATGTCATCCAGGTTTATGCAAAATAGTAGATGTTTGGAGATCTTCAAGATCCTGCCCTGCGCTAGAAGCCTAGAAAATCATCAATCCATCTCATTTACCAGTTTTAGAAGATGTAGTTGAGAATATAAATTTGACAAACACAAGTTGCAAGAAGTTGGAAAGGACCAATTTAAGAATAGCCAACTAGCTAGCATATCATGTTGGAAAAACAATTATTACGACGACAAATCATAAAAATCACTTGCTCTTATATATATATATATATATATATATGGCGGAAATACAATTTAAAAAATTACTAAGTAATGGCAATGCTTGAATCCACTTCATTCCATGTTTATTTATTTTTATTTTTTTTTTAAGAAATAATTAAATGATCTTGGACCATCTCACATTTGGTAGTCCAATCCAATTAAAATTAATGTTTAAAATTTATTTATTTAATTTTTTTGGGGAAAATATTTATTTATTTATTTATTTTATTATGTGATGAGATAGAATTATCTAAAACTTGGCAGAACTTAATTTTGTATAGCATGACTGACTTGCTTCCGGGAAGGGGAAAAAAATTGACTTGCATTCTAAATCAAGATTTTGAATATTAAGTTTCATCGCAGCTTAGTTAAATTTAAACTCATTTTTTTATTATTTAAGAAATAAAAACAAATTTTAGTATTTTCCAAATACAGCACACAAAATAAATAAATAAATACAGCATACCAAAAAAAAAAATGGTGATCATTTGGTGCTATTACATGCATCGTTCATAGGGAAAGCAATTTATTTACTTTATTCTAATAGTTAAGCTCGTCCGGTTTGACGAAATAATTCTCGGAAGATTTTCTCCTTGAGTAGTAAATTTCTCCATGCATGTATGGTGATGTGATCATTGTGAACCTCATAGGAACTTACAATGCCTAGCCTATTGTCACGGGCCTAGAGATTTGGCGCAGCGGCACGGCCCGTGCGGCACCAAGGCGTTGCTTCAGCTCGCGCAAGCGCCCTGGTCAGCCACCACGACCTACCCTCCCAAGGATACATGCTGACTGGTTTCGGCCTGCCATGGCCTCGTCAGGGGAACGGCTCCAGCTCCCGACCAGTTTGTGCAGGGATGGCCAACTCCCTTCTTCATAGTCAAGTCCACGACCAGCGACAAGCACCTCGAACTGAACCGAGTCGACCTGCCTGAACTCTGAAGAGGTACCATCCTGTGGTCCTGCACGCCCCTTCCCTGGAACTATTCCCAGTCAATGAATGTTCTTAGCCAACCAGCATGCGTATCTTCTATGCTCATGGCGTCGTTAGGAATCGGATCGTGACATTCTCCCCCACCCAAATCCTGCGACGCCCTCGTCGCAGTGCGGCACTGACTCCGCTGCGTCCAACAATCCAAAGCCTGTCTCCTCCAAGTGGTATGCTAGCCTGCCCACCATCGCTTCCTTGTACAACCCCTGGCTGCACTCGCCCAATGATAGGGTTTCGGGCTAAAGGGACGCCCACTTCTTCGGGACGCAACCCCACGTTATGCCGCCTCTGCGACACCCCGAGCAAACAAGCGCCCTCCGGCTGACTTGATACCCGCCCTTCACAACGGTTTGCACGCCTCTTGAACTTGCAAGAACTTTGGTGCGCGCGGCCCTCCGGCCATCCGATGCGCGCGGCCCTCCGGCTTAAAGGACGCATCTTCATGGGGAGATGGAGGCTCTCCTCCAACAGCATTGATTGCCCACCGACGCTTTAGTGCACCGTCTTCATTCTCAAGACCCCCGGATCGACAAGGGGGCACACCTTTGTGCTTTTCCCCAAGTCCTGCTCTGATACCATTTGTCACGGGCCTAGAGATTTGGCGCAGCGGCACGGCCCGTGCGGCACTAAGGCGTTGCTTCAGCTCGCGCAAGCGCCCTGGTCAGCCACCACGACCTACCCTCCCAAGGATACATGCTGACTGGTTTCGGCCTGCCATGGCCTCGTCAGGGGAACGGCTCCAGCTCCCGACCAGTTTGTGCAGGGATGGCCAACTCCCTTCTTCATAGTCAAGTCCACGACCAGCGACAAGCACCTCGAACTGAACCGAGTCGACCTGCCTGAACTCTGAAGAGGTACCATCCTGTGGTCCTGCACGCCCCTTCCCTGGAACCATTCCCAGTCAATGAATGTTCTTAGCCAACCAGCATGCGTATCTTCTATGCTCATGGCGTCGTTAGGAATCGGATCGTGACATTCTGGAGGGCGCTTGTTTGCTCGGGGTGTCGCGGAGGCGGCATAACGTGGGGTTGCGTCCCGAAGAAGTGGGCGTCCCTTTAGCCCGAAACCCTATCATTGGGCGAGTGCAGCCAGGGGTTGTACAAGGAAGCGATGGTGGGCAGGCGAGCATACCACTTGGAGGAGACAGGCTTTGGATTGTTGGACGCAGCGGAGTCAGCGCCGCACTGCGACGAGGGCGTCGCAGGATTTGGGTGGGGGAGAATGTCACGATCCGATTCCTAACGACGCCATGAGCATAGAAGATACGCATGCTGGTTGGCTAAGAACATTCATTGACTGGGAATGGTTCCAGGGAAGGGGCGTGCAGGACCACAGGATGGTACCTCTTCAGAGTTCAGGCAGGTCGACTCGGTTCAGTTCGAGGTGCTTGTCGCTGGTCGTGGACTTGACTATGAAGAAGGGAGTTGGCCATCCCTGCACAAACTGGTCGGGAGCTGGAGCCGTTCCCCTGACGAGGCCATGGCAGGCCGAAACCAGTCAGCATGTATCCTTGGGAGGGTAGGTCGTGGTGGCTGACCAGGGCGCTTGCGCGAGCTGAAGCAACGCCTTGGTGCCGCACGGGCCGTGCCGCTGCGCCAAATCTCTAGGCCCGTGACACTATTCTCTCTTCACCTTGGACTTAATCTTTCTTTAAAATTTTGCAGCAAAACTAAATTGGCTCATTTTTTATAATGTGACATTAATTCGATGTGTTAATTGTAGTGAGATAAAGTTGATACAAAAATAACTTGATATGAAATTAAAACAAATCCAATAGTAAACCCATCTCAATTCCCAAATGTAAGAGAATCCTCTAAATTTATCTGCACAATTTTCTTTTAAAATAAATTTTAGTGTCTCAATATGAGAAGGAAAGAAAAATTGTAGTAATAAAAAAAACTATTGCTAATTTTTTTTTTTTTATGACTCACACTATTTAAATTATTACGTACCAATGAAAATACAAAATACTATTTGGACTTATTATATGTCTGACATAGAGAAGAGAGAGGTGAAGGTGACAGGCTCCTTTTTTAATACCAGGCAACAAAGTGGAATGCTAGCTCACTTGCTAGTGACTAAGACAAATGGTGAAGAAAGAACACTTGGGCACAGGTGAGCAAGAGAGAGTTTGAGAGGATGCGCAGCACTTGTATTGCTTCAGAATTCTTACCATGTTTGGTTACTTGGTGAGTGGTAAATCCAACTCCCCTTCTTAGAGCAGCTCTTAGGTGGGTCTTTTAAGGCGATGTTGGACCAGTTTTGCTATAGGATTATTCCAATGGCCTCATCAAAAATTGGGCCCCATCCAATGAGTCGCGGAAAACCGCGACACTCTTGGCGAGCCGCATCAGTTTTGTTTTAATTTTTTTATTATGGGCCAAAACAACGTTTTAGCCTAGAACACTATTTCTTAGGCTCTGTTTGCTTAAAAAAAAAAAAAAAGATAAAAAAGGAAAAAAGGAAAAAAAAAAAAAAAAAAAGAGACTAAAACAATTGAACCAAAGAGCCGTTAAGGCACTGTTTGGCTGACACAAACAGTGCCTTAAAGGTTTATTTTTGGCTAAAAAAGTTTTAAAAAAATAGATAGAAGTGCCTTTTTAAAAAAAAAAAAAAAAAAAAAAAAATTACTTTTTAAAATATTCCTTCTGACATATAGCCGTTTTAGGCATTGTTTGGCTGACCCAAACAGTGCCTTAATGGCTATATTGGCACAAAAATCTATTTTTTTAATTTATTTTTGAGGAGGCCCCGGACGACATGGGCCGGATCCGACTCGCAAACACAACATTCAGTTCGTACAGCTGGGTCGGCCCATATAAAGACACTGCCATATGGGCCGAACGGGAGTAAGCCCATCAAAGGTGACCAGGGCTTATGGAGGAATAGGCCCAGATCCAGCAATCAGTAAATATCTTGTAAATATCTTGTAAATATCTATAAATAGGATATAGAATGGAAAGGAGAGGGATCTTTTTGGTTGAGGTGTAAGAATTCTAGAGAGAGAGAGGAGAAGGAATTTCTTGCATCTTCAATTGGCGCCGTCTGTGGGAAACGCATGGAAGTTTGGTTGATCAATGAGGAATATCGAATGGATTCAAACCAATTCGGTTGATCGAGACTCGATCTTTGGGATTTGAATCCAGATCTGAGCGATTGTGACCTACTCTGGAGGAATTACAATTCTTGAAGCTTTGGCAGGAGTGACTTCAGATCTACGCAACAACGAGTTGTTCGATTGTGGCAGGATCTGACGGATTTAGAGTTCAGACAATTCAGATCTCGTAAACAGTGAGCATAATTCGGAGAATTAGAAGCCAGATCTAAAAATTCCTACTCACGAAGCTCGGATCTACTCGCGAACTTGAGATTAATGCCTTTACTCCGTTCGGGAATAATGATAGGTGAAAGCTCCAATCCGATGGAGGCTGTCCAGCAAACAAAGCTTGAGGAGTTGATG